AAGAAACGAGGCTTTCTTTGTGGTGCAACTGGGACGCTGGTACAGTATCGGAGGGGGGGTAAACAAGAGTGTAGATTTGCCTCTGGAAGCCACTGAGGAGCCCGCGGTCCATGTGCACGTCTGAATGATGATTAACTGTAATTACCTAACAGTACCTGGCCTGCATGCCAGGAGGCAGCCTGAGATTAATGGGGCTCTGCTGAAAACGGAACCAAAGCTCACATTTCAGAGGTAATGAATTGCTCTGGTACTAAGGCGTCTGCACATGGTGCGCCCAGGCCCCCAGGGAGGTTCATTACAACGGGAGCAATAGATGGATCCTCTGCAGCATTTTCAGGAGCAGGAGGAAGTCTTAAATCGTCCCAGACATGCTGGTTGCTGTGCGGCCTCTACAAGCAGAAGAGAGATAAACAGCCTCCTCAGTGCTTCCTAAACGGTGGTAAACACCACAAAGCCTTGTGTCACCAGTACACAAGGTGTTCAAACAATAAAGCTCTGTGCTGCAAACCGCTTCAGTAATGAAGACACATGACTAGACTGATGCTGTAGCAGTGAGCGACACAACTCCTCAGTGAATTATATGTTTCACGTCCATTCATAAACAGAAGAGTTGAAGTGAGCCGCTCAGCATTATCTGTATTAGAGGAAGCAGCTTTCATCTGTAGAGGAAGCACGCACCTCGGTAAAGCCTGCAGGGCAAGGTTTTATTACTAGTGTCTCCTGTTATAAATTACAGTCCAAGGAATCAGCCGCAGATTAATGGTGACATTATTTAGTTTGGTGTTGTGGGGGTCATTGTGAAGAATGAACGACACTAAACGTCAGCGGACAATGTGAGACAGAGGCCCGTGTGAGATTTAGCATTAAGAGTTCTGCAGGAATGAACACGGGTGATGTATGGAAGTGGGCATCAATTATTGGAAGTCAAACTCCTTGAGGCAACAATGAGAGGATTTACGAGGCTGTGGCAGTTTTTCATGCCCTTGAACATGTTCCCTCCAGATACGTCGGTCGATAGCATGAAATACAACCTGACGGAGCTTTTAATGATTACAATGCACACAGGCCACATATTTCTTGGCCCATTAAGCCATGTAAATACTTGAAGGGAACACCGGTTGGGGCATGCCCGGCTTCACATGACGGTGTGTTCAGTGGTGCCTTGAGAAAGCCAACGGCCCCTTTCTGTTTACAAGCCTCTAATCATGTTAATGACACTTTGCTCCCATACAGGCCGTTTCTCAATCGATCACACAGACAAAGACCAAAATAAAGTAACAACATTTAGAATGTGTGCCTGTGCACGTCTGAAGGAGATGAAAGAGAAGCAGTCAACCTTTAAACTGCCATTCATCAGGGAGTCAATGCCATTATCCCCCCGTCACCCTGCAGTCTGTCGGGGACATAGAAGTGCACATATACACATACAAACCTGCACTCTTTAATAATGGATTCAGATGTTAAGAAAAGAGGAATCTACATTCTGGAGGCAGACAGTTTTATTGAACATTGAAACAAGGATGTTACACGGACCACACCAGTGTTAACTACAAGTAATCATATCACTGCTCACCCTTTCTAATGTTTAATGTTTTATCTGGTGATAGTTATAGATAGATATTTTTCTTTTTGTCAACAAATCCCATGAATCACACTAACAATTAAATAAATCTCTTATTCCTCTGTGCCGTAGAGCTCCATTGTTGTCTAAAACTATTAAAAACACACAAGTCGGTGACATGCATCCGATTCTTGTTCCTTGTCAAAACCTCGAGCCTACATTACCCACAATGCAACCCGGCCACTGACAGCTTGGTTGAAGATTGTGTTGTGTTATGCTAGTAGCGACTATTGTAGCCCCGGGCTGCTAGCTTCAGATGAGGAGCGCGCTACAGAGGTAGCTGGTGACCTCACTTATACAGTTCCTAACTTGTAGTCTTTAGTCTTAACAGCGCTGACTCAAGTGACATCACTTGAGTCAATTATCAGCCTTCCCACCGCTCACTCTGGAGCCACAAAAGGCCCAACATGGTCGTACTCCCCAGATCCTCTAAACATGGCCACAAATACTCACAGCGCACCAAATGTGTATTAATCCACAGCTGGAAACAGTTTGCTGAGGACGACAGTGTGTTTAAATGAACGTGTAATATGTAGGTTTAGGTGTTTTGTAGGAACCAGTAGGACTTGAAGACGGGACAAAGAAGAGGGGAAGAGGTCAGAGTGGACTGCTGCGTTGTTGGTTTGGGTCTTTTCATGGAATGGAAACCAGTTAAAATAATCACATTCAAAAGCTGCAACATGACAGTAGAGCACAGCTGTGCAGAACGATGCATCACATCATCTCGGTGACGTGAACACATCTGCATTGGTGAAGAAGTTCGTATTAATCTCCAGCAGATTATCAGAGATGACAAAAGACGATTCTTCTGCTCATTTCTCAGCAACAGACGCTCGACGAGCAGCAGCGACCGTGTGGACAAAGGACGAGACGTTCATCCATCTCCCTGTACGACCCGGATGCAAATGAGGAGAATGAAAGCAAGCAATCAATTCCCTAATTGGGTTTGTGCTATTTTAACTTGTTAAGGGGGCCTCTGTCTAGATTAGAAGGGAAGATCAATGTCTCATTGTGACAGTTACTGTATTCATCTCACACGTGCAACAAAGGAACCCGGCACAGAGACCAGATGCTTCTCATTGTGCGAGTCCGCCATCATAACGTCTCGTTGAACGCAGGTTTGTTCACGTTCGTTACAATCTGCAGATGCAACAGTTTGGTCCAAAGTTACACATTTACATCCGAGAATGAAGAACAGGATGGGTTCTGCTGATGAAGACATTGTAGCGGTGTCTTTTCATATAAAATGTTACGACCCAACAAAGATAAGTTTGGTGTCGACGAAGACGACAAGTTCTACCACTGTAAATATAACAGTTTTGCCTAATAATTGAAGTTTAAGTTGAAAAAACACCCGTAAGTATAATCTGTTATTACATTTGATGAACAGCATTAAGTAACAACCTGTAACTGTAGGGTTTAGATTTAAACGTTGCTAAAGCTCGACTGTTTAAACCAGAGACAGGAGACGGAGCAGTGCAGAGCTCTCTCTCTGTTGCTCACGCTCAACAAGCTGAATAAAGAAATAGGGTTTAAACTGCTAAGAAAACACTCCTGCAAGAATGAGTTGTAAAGAAAGCAGAATAAAAGCTCTGCTGCTCCACAATGCACACGGAGACGTTTGAAGTGTCCCTCCCTGCTGGAGGTCCTACAGGTCCAGCTGAGCGGCTGCAGAGGAGCATTTATTTTCAACACATCAGACGGTTGATGTGCAGCGTGAGTCAGCTACTCCCTCAGGTCACATCAATAGTTTAGTTAGCGGCGGGGAGAAACCAAAGAATTAGAATAAAAATGAGATTACGTATCCTAAAAGCAATGCACTCAATTACTCCGACTCAACGTGTTCTGCTGCACAGCCACATATCAGAAGGAGTGGGAGAGCAGCATGTCATGTCTGGTTCTGTGTGTTTCTCTTGTTCTCCTGGTGAGAGGGAAGAGAGATCTGTTGAAAGCTCTACAAACCATGCAGCCTTCTAACACGATGCACTTCATCTTCCCGCTGTTTGCTTTAGTGAAGTTAGGGATTGGCGGCATGTTGATGATGGCCGGCCTCTTATCGCTCTTTATCTGCGTTTGAACAGGTTTCAAAGCCAAGCGGACCGATACTATTAAATATAGACCATACTGTCCCAGTGCTTTCTATGGGTTCAAGCAGAGTTCATGTTGTTCGTATCACCGGCCTTCATGCCCTCACATCTCACACAGATCAGAAGGGCTCTGTGAGGTATGCCACCATCAGCCAATTAATGCCCCGAGTACAGCTGCTCTGCCTGGAAGGTCAACACTAAGCACTGTGCACGGCTTAATGTCTTCTTTCCACTGCTTCAACCTCTTTTTGTAGTTCACACCCCAAACGTCAAATAACAAGGGTCACAAACGTGACCGTGAGCTGCCTGAGTCAATAACAAACCTGCTGTGCTTCAGGGGAGAGGGATCTACACAGATTCCCCCCCCCCCCCCACATTAAAAGGAGAAGAGATGCACTCTGGGAGATTGAGGAGAGGCATTTTAGGCTTAGAAGAACTTCGCTTCAGATCAAATCTTAGGGACAAAAGTGACTTTTCAGGCGTTTAACTGGCACTTTACTCTAACTCAGGCTGAGCTGAGACGCTGCTGCAGGGATTCATGTGGAGACGTGTTAGTGGTGGGCTTCCTCTGACCTCATGGGGAGATCCTAAATGACATGTTTTAGCACCTTCCACCAAGTCTTTGGTCTTGTTCCGTGTTTATTAATGTAAGACATGAACACTCTTAAAGCTGAGGCCTTTATTCCCTCTGGGCTGACCCACGAGCAGCTACAGCCACAGTGCAACTCAAAGGCACTTATTAGTGTGACAGTCTGTGTCCAAACATCACGAGCCTTAAACATCATCCTCCAGCAGACGTGGCGTTACACATAATGTACAGAACTACTGAACTCAATGCCCCGGATATAGATCTACGGAGAGCAGCTTCAAAATCAAACATGGCGCATTAAATGTGCCGATAGCACAACTACTCATCAATCACAGCCTTTAACATGAAAGCGGAACAGTTTGTAGCCCTGGAGGGCTAAAGGTAGCAGCGCCACCTAGTGGTGACCGACTAATCCGTTTTTAAAACAAAGCTACAAAAGTAAAAATCAATGTTTTAACATAATCTTCAAAACAGATTAGATAATCTAAAAGAATCCCTGACTAAATCCTTTCACAAAGGAATGCTCAAAGCACATGAATCATTATTAAATACAGTAGTAGAACGTCGTCTGACGGGTCCATCTAGAACAACGGTCAGCCATCATGGTGCAAAACAAAGGCAAAAGAATCTAAAACACAATTAGTCTTTTTTTTTAAACCAAAAGCCACGAGGAACGAGAGACGACTACAAGCAGCTCCCTCTGGCGGCACCACCACTGTGTCACGTGTCAAAGGAAACAATGCATGCGTTTCATCTCTGATGGCCTACATGTTGGTGCTTCCCAGCCTGCTGGTGAATTTGTCCTTGTCGATGTTCCTGTGCTCTGCCACATGTCGGAAGGTGCAGTCCTGCCTCGTGCAGCCCGTGGTCCTCCAGAAGAAGCACTCCTTCTTGTACGGGCTACAGCGGGGACACAGCGGCAGTTCCAGAGTTTAAAACGAGTCAGGCGTCCTATTTACCTCGAAATAATGGTAACGAATCAGCAGAATAACTTGTATGAACAAAGACAATCCAATACTACTTGTTTTAATCATTAATGAATCCAATGCAGATGTGGAGAAAACCCTTCTTACATCCTCTGTGCTTTAAACTGTTAGAAACAGTTCCTCCCATCTCGTTACACTTGAAGCGGAAGAACATATGAACGTGTAAGCAAAGTGTTGGATGGAGAACAAAGCGTGCTCTCACCTGAGGCGTGGAAAGGGCTCAGAGGCGGCTGATTTGGACAAACCGAGTCCAGTGAAGAACTTATTGGGATATCGCACTGAGAGCGGAGCGCCCTCTACCACCATCCCCTGAAGAGGAAACACATGGAAGAGCCACAGCTCAGGAGAGAAGACGAGGAACAGAAACTACCCATAAGATTCATGTCACAGTTGGATTTGTGTGAAGGGAAAATGTTTTCGAGAAGCAGACGGACTTTAAAGCGTGAATAACTTCACAGATTTAAAGTCTGCTTCTCCAACACCTTCCCAGAGCTGCGGTTGTCAGTCACTGCTCTAATAACACAACCACCAAACATTCCACATGTAAACAGATGCATACATTGATACACTGGATGGCTCGGTCACAGTCCTCCTTCCTGGTGTAGTTGACGAAGGCACACTGGTGCTCCAGCAGCATCTTGATGCTGCAGACCGTCCCGGCTCTGAGAGAGAGAAGCAGCACATGAGCGGCCATCTTTAACGTCCCCGCGGTTCACAGCTCCGAGTCAATAACGGGGAATACAGTCGACACGTCACTTCAGCAGCAATAAATCAATAACAAGCTGAGAGTTCTGGTGGTCAACGCCCTCAATAATCCAGCTCATGCATATTGTGATCTAAAGTTATTAATGGAATGTAAATTAAATGCTAAAATGAGAGCAATCCAGAAACTCAAACAGCAGAAATATCTACAAATGTGGATGTTATTTGAACTTTAGCGCTTTATTATCTGTATTCTGCATTCTCTATTCTTCTTCTTCTGCATCTCCTGTGAAGCTCAACTCAACATCGGATCCTCCTGAAGGAGAAACTTTACCTGCTGAAGAGCTCGTGGAGCGTCGAGTAGGTGACAGCAGGAGCCAAGGATCCGACCCAGATGGAGAAAATGTCTCTTCACACCAAACAGAAGAGATTGAACTATTTTAACTGATGTCGCACTCTCAGCAAATCATCTTGAAAACCCTTTAACCAAATCTGTGGACGCTGCACATTAACGTCTGTGCTTGCTCAAAAGTGCAACATGTGTTTAGTAAATGTAAAATCACTAACTGACTTCCTGTTTGCAAAAGACACAAATATACTGCATTACATGTGGGAACTAACAGACAGTTGTTGCACATCTGTGCATGTTTCAGCGCAGCGGTTCCCGACCTGAAGGTGAGGCACGAATAATCTTTAGAAACCTGACAGACAACATTCTGACTTTTCTTTTGCTTTGTGAAATTGTTAATAGAATTATTACCTTTTGTCTTTCATAAAGCAAACAATGAGAGACATGCAGCCGGAGGTGAGGGCTCACAGACCAAATACAGGTGAACAGCTGCATTAGGTGACTGTTATGTAAAATATACTTATTAGTAATACGCCGTCTTACGGTTTCACAGAAGTCTTTGAGCGAGGCGTCGGAGACTGTGATTTCGATCTGCTTTGCTCAAAAGCTTCGGACTCTTTGACCTGCTGCATTCTGGGACGGTTTGTTTGGAGGACGAACTCCCACTCTCCCTCGTCGTAGTTCTCCTCCCACACCACTGGTTGCTCCGTTTTGTCCCAACTGGCACCGGCATCTGAAGAGAGCCAACAAAACGTGTTCACATACCAGAACATCCCCGCAGACACGGGTCACATCCCTCCAGCTCTTGAGGAACATTCTGGGATGTTTACCTCCAGGACCCGGATCACTTCCATCACCAAACAGAGCTTCGACAGCTTGCTCCATCGTGGCGTGTGTTTTCAAGGCCTCCGAGCTCTGCCCCCAGGTGAACCCCATTTCCTAAGATGGACAAACAAAGACAGCCACCTGATACCAGCATACAGACGTTTAAAGAAAGGACCGGTGTGTTCAGATCTGCCGGCCTCTCGTGGTGAGGATGCAGATCACGACTAACTGAACCCTCGCCCTTACATTTCTCATTTTCACTTGATTATACACTAAAGAAAACATACTTCATAATATAATATTCCATGTCTGCCAGAGATTCCCCTAAAAGCTGCACACTGTTCCTTTAAATGTAAACCACAGCTAGCAGACAGAGTGCATCCAACTCAGAACCTTTGGTCTGAGCTCATACTGTCCATCTATCCTGCATCACTTGGTGTGCTGTGTGGTGTTTCCTGATGTCGCCATTTGGAGCAAACAACATGCAAAATGACGATTACTGACTTTCAAGCGTGCTTTGGACGCTCCGAGGTTGTGAAGTTGTTCTACAGCTTCTTCTCAGAAGCTGACGGTCTACTTTGTGCCTCTGTACACTTGTAAACATGTGCTTCTCCTACCATGAGGTGCAGGGTCTGCGCTCGTTTCAGCTCCAGCATGGCTTCAGCGCTGGAACCTTCCAGCTCCAACACTTCCCTATAGATCAGCGAGGCCTCGTAGTATCTCTGCAGGAGACGTGAAGGAGACATTTTCAACTCTTAAAGCACAAAGAGCACATTAGCTTTTAGTTACACCTTTATATTGTATTAGCCCCAATATTAGAGGCTTCACTGAAACTGTCAAGCCAGATACTGTGCATGTGAATAGAACATTACGTAAGTGATGCAGGAGCAGTAACTTACCTTGAGCCCACAGAGAGCTTTCCCTTTCCTAAATAAACCTTTTATCCAGCTTGGCTGCATGCAGAGTGCTATGTCAGCATCCCTGAGAGCGTTCCCATACTGCTGCAGTCTCTCATAACACAGGGACCGATTTCCAAATAACCTGAAACGGAGTAAACGTAATTCTTGGTAATTCTTGGTAATTCTTGGTCACTGCTCCTGCGTGGGAACATGAAGTCTGAAGTCAAAGCCGCGTGCTTACTTAAATTCCTTTGGGCTGTATTTAATGGCGTCGGTGAAGCATCTCACGGCCGTCTCGTACTGTCCGGAGGCCGCCAAACGATTTCCAAAACCTGGAGGGACGAGCGAGAGCGGGTGAGTCTGCTTCAGTACTTTCATGCGTTTGTTTTTGTCAAAGTCTCAGTGATGTTAATGTAGAATATTACCCACCAGCCAGCTCTCGGCTTCTCTTGGCCGACTCTTCTGCGTGGTCCATGATTTCCTGTTAACGTTAGAGTGAGTCGGTGAAGTGTTTCAGCACGACACGATACGCTAAATGTGCATGTAGCTTTCTGTCAATGCTAGTTATCATTTGACCACATTACATAAAAGGTACAGTCACAGATCTAATGGAAGAGTCAGACATTAAGAGGAGAGGTGTTCCCAGGCTGAAGACTTCAAGTCTTCTTGTATTCTATCATCTGTGTTGTTACGTGTCCCCACCTCTTTATTGGGTTCATGTTTCTCTTCCTTCTTCTTATGAACCTCAGGTTTCTCCACCACTCTCTGCATTTCCTCGTTGGACTGCGGAACTTCCAGTAATTTAGTTTTCTTCTTTTTTCTTTCTCTCGCAGGTCTCTCGTTACACGTTTCCAATTTTGTTGTAGAAGAATTAGAATTGTTTAAATCCAAATCCTGCAGAAAATAATGAAATACAAAAAAAAAGGTGGTGGTTTGACAATAATCATCCACAAACAAACAAAGGGTTCAAATCTTGAGCCGAAGTGTGTTAAAGCTGCATTCTCTCTAGTGTCCACCAGGGGGCGACTCCTCTGGTTGTATAGAAGTCTATGAGAAAATGACTCTACTTCTCTCTTGATTTATTACCTCAGTAAACATTGTAAACATGAGTTTATGGTCTCAATCTCTAGTTTCAAGTCTTCTTCACTACAGCATGATGTTCATTTAGTACATTATGGTCCATTTAGAGTCAAACAGACCATAAAGCAGGGGATGCTTTAGGGCGGGGCTACACGGTGATTGACAGGACTCTACCAGAGACGTGTCCGGTCTGGGAGTTGTCAGTGTTTGTTTCCTACAACTTTAACTCTTGACACTTCTGGTTGCCAAAATCCAAGATGGCGACGGCCAAAATGTCAATGATGAGGCTTTAAAACCTGTAGTCCACAAACACTCCTTGTATACAGTCTGTGGGTGTAACACAACAGACCAGCCTCTGTCTCTGTGAAACCGACACCAGCTGTGATCCAGCACTGCTTTCTGTATTATTAAGAAACAAAGACTAAACTATTTAACTGATCACTTGAAACCATTATCAAAGTGTGACAATATCCAGTTTCCTCTTGAGAAATAATTGCACGTTCTATGTGGTCACCATCCTATTAACTACTGGTGAGACGTTATGTCTGCACGAGATGTATGCAGCCTAGAGTTCACAATCGTACACCACAATGTGACCAACAGAAATGTAAAAGTCTCCACAAACCTTTTGCTCCCCATCTTCTGTTTTATTAATCTCCGCAAGATCTTCTTCTTTATTATTAGCACTTTTCTCATGGCGTCCAGCTGCCTCCGTTCCATTCAGTGTTGGACCAGATTCAGGACAATCATTTGCTTCTGCATTACTTTCAATTACAAGATTTTCTGCCGGATTGTCCGAGGAGTCCGACTTCCCCATTTCTTCCTCCTGAAATGATAAAAGGGAAGAAACACGAGACCACAAGTGGTTTTTAAAGGCCTTGCTGTGTGGATGTTCTCTCTGGGCTAGATGTGCATTTGTATTTGTTGTAATATCAGTAAAACAAGACTTACAGCTAAAATGTCTTTTACTGCATTCTTCTTGTCTAACCGCTTCTTTTCTTTTTTACGCTGCAACAGAAAGATGAAATGTGCTGTGAGGAAGAAAACAGCAACAACACTCAGAATGTTAGACCCTAATAATTACGACACTGACCAATTTCTTCCGCTTGTTCTTCTCGGTTTTGTCCTTACGTCGTTCCTCTTCTTCTATCAGTTCCTTTGCATGTTTATCAGCCTCCTGAAGGAAGAAAAAGAAAATAAATAAGATAAATTCAAAGCGTCTGAGAATGAAAAGTACATGACTTGAAAGTACACGAGTCAGTCAGAACCTAGGGACACGTAATAAAGTGAACGTCTTGGTTTCACTTTCACAGAAGTGTAAATACCTCGTCGGTGAGTTGTTTTATTCGGGGATGTGGTTCTAAATGCTTGTAAGCAGCAGTGTGTGCATAAACGTGACGATCGTCTTCATCTTCGTCAACATCATAGTCCTCGTCAGAATACACCATGTCGTCCAGTTCTCCCTCAAAGGTCCTCAAAAAATCTAAACCTGGGAGAGAAGATGAGGATCATCAGCAACTTGCATGAAAACACAAAAAAATCATTTCGGTCAGTCTGGAGCCCTGTAAGGTTACCCATAATCCTTTGCAAGCAGCTCAAGACAAACAGATGAACAGTAGAGAGCAGTTAAATATTGAACAGGATGCAATCTGCAGCTCACTGAGGACAAGACTAATTACGAGGGTGCGGGAGGCTCACCTCGGTCTCCGGCTGACTCATGACAATATTGTACAATATGTAATTACAGGAGAGATACTGTAGCACTAAAACCAATGCTGAGCAAAGAAGAAGAGAAGGGTGAAGTGTTGGCTCCGATACAAGCTCTGCTGCTGTGTTCTGCTGTAATGAGCTAATGCCGATCAGGTGGTCATTAATAAATGATTGATTGAAAAGGGACAATGAATCTTATGTTACCTAAACTGTTAAACTGTCATACAGTCAAGATCTCTGAGAAGTCAAATCAACTAAATGTACTTGTGCTGGAGTGTTTTATCCTCACGGTCACTTAGAAACAAGCTGTAGAACACCCGTACCTAATAATCCAGAGGCAAAGACATCCAGGATAGAGCCTGCAGAATGACGTCCATTTATGAAATCTACCACGGATTCCTGATGAAGAGAAAAGACAGGCGACTTTAAAATGCATCCATTAATGTGTCCGTGCTGTAGCCACACAAACTGAACTACACACTGCTCCAAGTAACAGACTTTGTAACCGTTCAGTCATCTTTTGGGCCGTTTTGGACTTTGTTTGGCAAAAAGGAAGAACTAAAACGACGCATTTGGAAGATCTAATAATTGATAATGGACATTTATCTGTATTTTCTGACATTATAGAGACAGAAACATGTATCCATTAAGTAAGTCTTTAACTGCTTACTGCTATAATAAACTGTACATTTCTACATTCACACATGTTGTGGCTGTTTATCTGCAGCAGTTACCACAATAACTGGGAGGTAATATGAATGTTGTAACGTGTGAGATTGTGTCGGATGTAACATAGTGTGACAGCGTTACAGTGATTATTTATCTGGATTGTTGTGAAGATAAGGTGCCTGATATCTCGGGTAGCTCAGACTCAAACTACCAAGTTGAAGGTAGAACTGGTGGCATGTTACTAACAGCACACTTAAAGAAATAGGACAGACCTGTTATGCCACAATAATGACAACAACACAATATACAGGTTTCCAGCTGCTTGACTCATACTCACGTGCGTGCGCATCAGTCTCGAGTTCTCCCGAATCCTGGCGATAGGAGCACCACCTGGAAGAAACACATCAGGTAAAAAAAAGGGCTAACTGTCAAATACATAAATGCCTTCGACGTCACCAAGCAGAAGTCTGTGGTTACGTCACCAAACGCCACATCATTAGCCAGCTAGCTCGTAAGCTAACAGTTCTCATTAACAGTTAAATGAAACTCATCTAAACTAGCAAAATAACAATGGCTGCTTTGATCTCACCTTTAACAATGTCCTTCTTTTTAGGCATGGTTTAAGCAAACGTCTTTCTGTTGGTTTCCCTGCGGCTGTTACGGACGTTATTTAAGGTTATTTGTATCTTTCTCGTTGAAGGTATATTTTATAGTGTTGCCACTGTTTTCTTCTTGTTTCCGCGTTTGATTAAGAGAGTTTTTATTGCCCTGGCTTTAACCTTTCAGGCTGCTGCCCGCCTCCAAGAGGCTCCAATCAAATGGTAACGATTTCGCGTTGTTGTAATTCAAGGGACGTGATTGGATGTCGGGCCTGTCAATCATTGTAAAGTAGACGGAAGAGGAAAGAATGCCTTAGAGTCTGACAGAGGGCAAAAAACTCCCAACACCAATCTGCGTATGTGCTGTCATGATGCCACAACTAATGTAAATAATATATACTATAAAGTAGTAGAAATTAAATATAACTATAAAAACAAAGTGCTGTACAAATCTTTATAAAAAATATACATAAAATATTGAACATCTGTATATATAATATTTTAGTTATTGTTGATTTTTTTAACTTTTTTACTTAGTTAGTATTCTTTACTGTTTTATTACTTATTTACTTATTTATAATACTTGTATTGATCTTCTTCTTTTTTTTACTATGTCTCTTGTTTGCACTATTCTGTATGCTGCTGTAATCCTGTAAATGTATACGCTGCAGAAATAAAGGATTATCTTATTTTATCTATCTTATCTTATTTTATGCAATTAATCAAATTACCAAAACCAGTTGACGTGCACTGACCCTCTGGATCTGGGGCTCCAGGACAGTTGCCCGCCCTAGCCCTGTCTCTAGATTTACATGGTGCATATTCTTAGACAAATTTGAGTTTAACCAAATAGGATATTCTTATTAAAATGATTGCATGAAACATCACTGCAGACCACTCTGGACAGAACTACAGAACAATGTGCGCCACAACAACCAGACACAAGAACAGGTTTTTTTTCCCATAGGCCGTCATTGATGAACAGTTAACATCAGTCATACACTGTCAGTAACCCTCTAACATTAACATATCTACTGCTGCCATTATACATTATAATTTTACAGTTTTTAAATGCATAATGTGTTTAAAATTAACATATCATTTGTCAATGTCAATATAATTCCTATACGCACTGTATCTATTTAATCATCTTTACATGTACGTAATCATCCAGTCTATTTATATCCATTCATTATTTATGGTGCTTTATATATATATATATATATATACACACAGTATATATATTATTTTATTTTAGCAACTTGTGTACACAACAGTCCTTTCTATACTTTACTTGTATTGTTTCCAGATTTGTTGTCCTTGTCCTAGGTGTTAAGTCTAATTATAAATCTAGTGTATATATTATTTTGTGCAATACACTACAAAATATAAATATACAATGTGTGACGTGTGAAACATGGCAAAACGGAAAAAAACTTATTGTGATTTAAATTCTGAGTGGAGCAAAACACGAAGATGGTTGACTCTGTTTTATTTATGGGACACGATGGAAAATAGAGAAACTCAACAATTGACAGCAAAACCAAACATAATAATATTCGGTGACATTATACAGTGATTACATAAACTTAAAAAGGGACTCCCACCAAATTTTGAAGTGGAATAATACAAGTTTCTTTAAACGCAAGCGAGTGATCCATCTGTTTAATAGACGATCTTTTGTGTTCTTCAGTTCAAATCAGTCACATCCCTCTCGCGCGCGCTCTTCCCTCCCGAGCTAGCATCCGGGTTTTTTCCCTTCAATTCCTAGCAACACTTCTTGGATACGAGCAGGAGGGAACAATAACAACAACATGGAACCTCCAGCGGTAATTTGCAAAGCTTTTAACTGTATTCCTGTTGCGAACATTAGGTTTTTGCAGCATTTTGTGTTGTCCGTGTGGATTACACCCGGAGAAACCTGGCTAACGTCCACGTTTAACCAACGCTGGCCGTTGTTATTAGCTAGTTAGCTAACGGCTAACTAGCTAATAACTACGTTCGCTAACTGCTAACTAGCTTGGATGAGTTTTAGCTAGTTAGCAAGTTAATTCTCTGCATAACAGACATTCAAACCAACGTTACTTCTCCTTTAAAACCTAATTGTCAGACATAATATTGCGTTTCCATCGTTAGTAGTGATGGTCGATGACTGGCTGTTACTTGGATGTGAGTTGCTAATGTTTGCGATTTGTATGCAGGTAATACAGAGCGTAGTCATGTCTCTCAACAAGCTAACTAACCTGTTGCCCAGAGCAAACCTTTTGCTATGCATCTCAACTATGTCTGATAAATAAAATAATGTTAAACTCCTCATGGGAAAGTTACTTTTTTTAAGAGGTAAGATAATCAGTGCAATTACAAGAACAACAGCATACTTCAAAAACTGCACTGCAGGATGTGATGAACACAAACAAGCAGGTGTGTTGCAAATACTGCTCATTTTGCTCATCACAGTTTGTGCAGCTCCTCTCCACCACCAACTCTAGAGGCTGCAGAATTGTTACCAGCATTTGTTGTTTTAAGCCTCCAGAGAAACTGTTCATAATTGGTTACTGAGCTGTGTTAAAGGGCAAAAGAGGACAGTAATAGCGAGTCACTTTGTTTGGTTATTTGGTTCACAGAGGGAGGTGGCACGTCCTCAATTGCCAGCAGATGAGGATGCGAGTCAGTGTGTTGGACAAACATCCTTAAATCAACTGGGAGCTCAAAGTCATAGACGTGCCAGTCAGGACCAGAGGCAGCCCAGGCTGGAAACAGATGGGTGGGAGCTTCAGCAGCGATGGGGGTGCTCTCTACAGCCAGGTACATTGAATAAAACAATCAATTTCACCCAATCACTCAAAAGACAAACAGTACTTTATGGAATGTACATATTTTTGTCTCTTGGATCTCATGATAATAGGAATTTGAGGGCAATGTTTCCTTGCATACAAGTTAATAATATACGTTTGTAGGATTTGTACTGCAGTTGTAATTTGTAACTCTGTTTACGATGCCTGTGAGTAACAACCAGGACTTTTGTTTTCATCAGAGCTCCAGGACAGTAACCTGTCTCCAGCCCTTTCACTGTTGCCTTCAAACTCTGGAGTGGAAAACAACTTCACTGAATATTCTTTATTCCAACAAAGTGACAACGAATTTGCCCCTTTAAGGTAAAAAAAATGGATTTAAAGACAATTATTGGTTCTCTGAACATACATACATATACATATAACATGTCATTTGATTGTTCAGAAGTTTCTAAATGTATTTATTACTTTTTTTTAAGGGCGTTCCCTGACATTTCCATGGCATCAGAGAGAGTTCACATTCCACCCCAGGATCGCACTTCTCGGGCCTCTGAGTGTGGTTCGCTGTCCCAGCACCCTTTGGCCCAGGCGACCATCCTGTCTGAAGGAGCGAGCAGCTGCTGCTCTCTTTCCCAGCACAGTTTGTCACTAATAAACGAAGGCAGACGAGAGGAAACTGTTCACTCCCCACGGACTACCACCACTGACAGTCGGGGAGTACCATCCAGAGATGATGCCAGTAGCAGAGAGAAGAACTTTGAGACGCTAACTGACCCTCCAGATAAGCTCGTAGGAGAGGCTGTTGAAGATGAGACATTCTTTCTGAGTAAGGATATTCCTGCCCAGCATCTTCTGGAACTCCTTCAGAAAGATATTGGCATGCCAAGCAGCAGCAGTAGTGCTGTTTCCTCCACCTCAGAGACCTCTGTGAAGGCCGCTGCATCGTATGCCCAAGAATCTAAAAGCACTAAAGTTTGTAAACCAGCCACTGACCAAAGCATGGTTAGAAGGGAAGGTCCTCCGGGTGAAGCTTCTCTTCCCCAGCAGCAGACACAACAACCCGACAGAGATTTACACCGTGACCAATCAGGAACATTGTCGTCTGAGGTCTGTAACATCACTACGGGGTCCCGCAGCACTAAACCTGATGACAGCAGTGACGTGTTACACAGAGAGCTGCTATCTGAGGTAGAGAGGTGCAGCAGCCGTGAAGCTGGATCTAAAAACAAACAGCGGGAAAGTCCTACATCACACGGTCAGCCTCTCACGTCATATCCCACAGGGACGTCTGAAGGCCAGCAGACTGGGACCAGAACAAATTTTGGTGGTCTCCAATGGACCGGAGCATTTTCAGCAGGAGTCGAACGGGGTCACAGAGAGCAAGAGCTCTGGTACACAGGGAACCAAACAGGGATCGATGGGTCCTACCTGGGTTTCCTTCCACAGTCTCAGTCCACTCCGGGAGTTTTTAAAGCTCCACCCAAATCTAGTGTCAAGGCTAAATTAGGGCAACTCTCTGCCATAGAATCTAATAAAGATAACTCTTATCAGTCGAACACAGGGATCTCTCCACAGCCAGATGTTCCTACGGCTGATGTCCATCGCCCACACAAAGCAAATCAGAGCCAAGAGGGAGCTACCTCGACAAAAGTCCAGTCTCTCCCAAGTCTCAACTATATGCAGAAAGTAGACGCTTGGAGAGCAAATCAGAGTTCAGGCAAGACGTCACTATTTGATAGCTTGGCACGACAAGGAAAGAAAGCTCCCGATGCAGTATCGGACCCCCTGAATGACATCTTGATTCAGCAGGTGAGTGCTGTCAATCAGAACGTCACACAGAGCTCCTCCACAGCTCCCTCTGGCTCTCCTACAAGAAGAGGGGAGGCGGTGGGCAGTGCTCCAAGTGACAAAGATAACACCGGGTCTGCAACAAGACCCTCTGCCTCACCCTTTGGCAGGTCACAGTCCCAATCCTCTCTTAGCACCATTGTCATGTCGGTCCAGAAAGATCAGCGGAAAAACAGACCTGCAGAAGAAGAGAACAGTCAGATTCAGGATGGTGTCCATCGTCAGCCAAAAGCCACAGGTCAACCTTCGCCTCGCATGAGCCTCGGTCATTTCAGTGACGTGTCAGATTTGACACTCTCGAGTTCCCAAGATAGTTACAACAGTGGAATTAAATTGGGAACTTCCATCGGAGCGTCTTCTGTTGTCAGCCTGGAGGTGGATAACTACGCGCCGTACTGGACTACGCCACCACCTCTGCCCAGACCGCCAGAGCTCAACATTGAAGACCGAATTCCGGTAATTGAAAAACTGAACATCCTGGATAAACAAGCATAGGATCTCGTAAAAATATATTTGAATATGTTTAAGACTGGAAACTTATATAGTTGTTTATGCAAATACAGTTTCAGAGATTTAGAATTTGGGTAAAAAATACCATAAACGTGTCGATTTGTAGACTCGATTCTGATATGTTCTGTATTTATTTTTCTTGCAGTTGTATCTGCGTAACCTGGGTATTGACCAATCTCCTGCAACAATTTTAACTCCATTTGCACCGAGAGGGCCAATCAGAGAGCCTGAATTCTCTCCCACTGATCTCTGTACAACTCAGGGATCAGTTGGAACACCAACCAAGAGCACCCAAACCTCTGAAGGTACGTCTGCAACAAACATTCTGAAGAGAGAGAATGTAACTTAAACTGTATTTGAAGTGGGGCCATCAAATCTGATCAGTCCAAATTGAATTGGTAAATGTACTTTTATTCCCCACATGAAGCAATATGGTTTATTAGAATAAATTGCATTACATTGCAGTCATTTAGCAGACGCTTTTATCCAAAGCGACTTACAATAAGTGTATTCAACATCGGTTTTCGAGAGAACAACTAGTCACCAGAAGTCACAAGTGCATCTCCTTTCTTCAAACAAGCATCTAAGACTCTCCTATTGTATTTTCAGGTGGCAGTCCCCATAAAGGACAGTTTTCAAGGTCCAGCATTCTGTCAGTGGACTCCAGTATATCCATACCGTTGAGCCTGGACAGTCTTGGTCCAGGTGTATCTGTCCCACACTGGACCAGGCGGGCTTCTCCTTCTTCAGATATAGAAGCTATTCAGAGTGAAAGCAGACTGCCACCCTCCTCCCTGCCTGACGAAGACTCTTATCCTCCCACCCAGCAACAGCACATGGACAGCAGCCGGAATACCATCCAGCTGGGAGACAGGTTTGACTCGGAGTCTCTCTTGCAATCAAGCCATAATTTGGAGCAAAATGCTGAACTTTCTATGACTAGCTCCACGGCCTTGTTGGAGATCCGTAAACTCCTCTCTCAGGCGGAGAACGCGTTATCTGCTGGGTCTTCTGAGGCTTCCTCAGCCTCCCCTGCGAGGCCCCGTCTGCTCTCTGATGATGACATCTTCCTCTCACTGAGGAAGAAGACCAGCGGGCTCCAGGACTCCTCCTCCTCTGCCACTGAGGACCCCAGACCTCACCCCTCTCTACTGTGGGCCAGGTCCTTGTCCGACTCCGTGCTGACCTCAGAGAAACTGAGAGAAGGCTCCATTGGTCGAGAGAGTATGGCTTCATTGGGGCAACCTAATAATTCATCCACACAAGCTCCTCCGACTGCACCGGCAGTAGGTGCATACAGAAGACCACACGATGTCACTGTTGGTAGAGGTTCAGAGCCGTCCGTTGTCCTCTCCCAATCAGCCCGGCGGGCGGAGCCCGAGGGCTGCAGTGCTGCTCCCCCTCACAACACAGTCCCACCTCAGCCACCAGTCGTCACGACTCCACCAGGTTTGAGCACACCACAGCTGACATCTACTCCTGCAGACACAGAGGAGGGAAAACAGACTTCTCTGGAAGGTCCTGTACAGAGCAGCCCCTCCTCGCCCACCTTCGAGGACACTGATCAGGGCGTGATGAGTGATGGGAGCAGTAAGAGCTCGCTGGCAGTCAGAGTGGCCAAGTTACTGCAGAGTGAATCTCCAGCTACGATGGTGTCCAGTACACCCAGCGTCACTGACCAGGAGGAGAGCAAAGCCAGAGGTAAGAGGATTCACACATTTTACACTTTAAACATCCAGATAAACGTTTCAAACAAATCATCTGCACAAGCATAACCGTTAGCATGTTGCAGAGTGGATTAAGCTGAAGATATCAGGACAGCAGTGTGAGACTCTGGAGTTGGACAAAGAAGACAGAACGAGGATTGAAGAGATCAAGAGAGAGCTGCTGCTAAAACACCCCATGAAGGTAAACTGCTGATGAAGAGCTCTTTATCATTCCACAAACTCATAGCAATCAGTCTCATCATGCATAAAGTACTGCACACTAACAACAACTAATGTTCATTTTCTCATGCATTTCCCTTTTAAATCTTTTGAATATTGACAATCTCTGGACAGTACACGTCCCGTGCTGAAGGTAACTTGTGTGGCAGCATGTTGTGTCAACGGATGCATGTCAGACTTTTGGAAACATTAATTCAAAATGTTTCCAGAGAAGTTTTGCCGTGCAAAAGGTTTTTCTTTTGTTGCGTTTGCAGCTCATAAATGAGTTCACAGGACAACATAAACTAGGACCCTGCTTGGTCTCACAGTTCTTGGTTTTGTTCTTCTCCTCTCAGAGTCTGTGGAGCACAGATACAGAGAGCAGTGCAGCGTCCAGTGTGAGAGGCCGACAGGGGCAGGATCCACCTCAGCAAGCGGAGACACTCGCTCCTCTGGATGACGGTGTGCAGCTTCAAAACCCTCTTCGCCCGGATCTAGAGGCTCAGATACGTGAGATCGCAGCCAGAGAAGGGGTAATCCTCACTAGGACAAACCCTCAGCCTCTCACATCTATCACCATCGCCACCCGCAGGCGCTCCACCTCCGCCTCTCCATCTACGTCACCTGCGTCTCCCCTCAGTCCAGCGCCAGAGCCGCTCCACCTGGCCGAGCTCTCCACCGGAGCTGTGGAACACCCTAAAGTTAACAGGGTGCTTCTACTGTCCACGGATGAAGAAGATGAGGCAGCCAGGGAGCCGGTCTTTGAACCAAGCAGTAGCCTGACTCCTCTGTCAGCACCAGGGAATCAGAAGAGACAAGACACTGTGGGAGGCCAGTTGGAAGACCCTCCCCCACCCTCACTGGTTTTAGGTAGAAAGGACGTGAACGCTGAAGAGCACAACACGCAGTCTTTCAGGCGAGATGACGAGTTATTCGTCCAGAGCAGCTCTGTTTCTAGTGTTAGTCATGAAGCTGAACAGGCCACAGGTTCATCCACATCTGAACCCGCAGCCGGGACAGGTCACGTCTCACATGTCCATCTCACTCTGTCCTCCAAAGCCACTGATCACACCTCAGCCACCGCTGTCCACTCCAGTCACGTTGACGCCGTTGCAGAGCTGCCGCGTAAAGGATTCGTCCCCCTCAGACACTCGTCTTCTGCTGCCAGCAGTCCGGACGAAGGTGTCGGTTTGTCCAGTCCACCAGAGTGGTACGACACCAGAGAGCCAGTAAGACAGCGGGTGCCTGAAAGAGCCGAGACGTCCACCTTGTTCAAAACCGCTGTTCCTCAGGGACGGATGACCTCCACACCTACACAATGCTTTACACCATGTCACAGAGTCGTTGTGTCACCGAGACCTTTCACTGCTGAAACACCAGGTAGGCTTGTTGTGAAGTGTGTTGTGTAAAGACTTATCTCCAGCTCTCTAGAGTTTCTGTGGTTGGTAAAGTTGACCGTATGTTCTTCCTCACCTCTCCTCTTACAGCAGTGCCTGTTCTGTTACCTTATAAGCCGCGTGGAAGTGAGGAGCTTTTCTACGTCCCTCAAACAGAAGCTGACGTCTCCTCCACCGGCCCTTCTGACACCACCATGGAGAGCTCTCACACGGGTACATTCCTCTCAAATATAGGAGATCACATAGAACATCGGTTGCATTTCCACTCCATTACTGACTAAAAGTCCGTCTGACTGGAAATCTGAATTTTCAAATCACAGATGATGAAAAAGGCATTAAAACATGTGTCTTACAGGTAAATATGAGGCTGCTATTGTCTGAGAGGAGTTAAGTGAGGGGACTGACACTGTGCGAGGGAGTGAATAATGTATGTAAATATATAGGTATAGGTATAATAGGTAAGAAAGAGCATGAAACAAGCTGAAGACAAATTACTTTTGAGAAATAACCCGACTGATTCTTACATCTTGCAGCAAACTGAACTCATATTAAATAGAACAGAAGGTTAATGAAATCAAACCGTTAAATGAGGAGGCTGTGCTCTCTCTTCCCCAGTGCCTGTATGGGGAGCAGCTGGTCTATTGTAACATACACCAGGCAGAGTATTACTTATTCATGTTCAGGGGCTGAGTGAGACAAAGGCAGAGCAGGGGCCCCTCAGAGAGACGGAGGGAGAGAGGGGACTGCAGACTGCATATCTTTAAACATTTTCTCTTCACTGCTAGCTGAAAGAAAAGGAATCATCTTGGTCACTTTTCCTGCAGCGTTATTCATGTGTCCCCTCAGAAGTGGGGACGATCTCGTTACGGTAGCACCCCGATGTAAAAGACCACTTTTGAATTCTGCCCAGGCTCAGACGACGCCGTGCCCCCCCGCTTCAGCAGCGAGGTCCTTGGACACAGAGACGCTGGGTTGGACCGCGGAGTCACCATCAGACACTCTGAGGGCATCTACAGCAAGAGGCTGAAAACAGCCACCGGCAGGATGCACGAGCCGGGACACCGAGGTGAGCCGAAGACACAGGACGCATACTCATCAAGTTCTATTGTGTTACATGCATCCGTAACACAAGCATCATCAAGTTCTATTGTGTTACATGCATCCGTGAAACAAGCATCATCAAGTTCTATTGTGTTACATGC